TTTTTGGTGGCCGAATATGAAAAGAGAGATAGTCGAGTTCGTATCCCAGTGTTTGTATTGTCAACAAGTGAAAGCAGAACATCAGAGGCCAGCAGGACTTCTCCAACCCTTGCCAATTCCTGAGTGGAAATGGGAACACATCTCCATGGACTTTGTGACTGGTTTGCCGAAGACACAGAAAGGGATGGATTCGATCTGGGTTATAACCGACAGATTAACTAAGTCAGCACACTTCTTGCCCGTTAAGACTTCGTATAATGCTGATCGACTTGCTGTGTTGTATAGGAAGGAGATTATTAGACTTCATGGTGTGCCGATGTCCATTGTGTGAGACCGAGATCCAAAGTTTGTTTCTAGATTTTGGCAGAGTTTACAAAGGGCTTTAGGGACCGAATTGAGGTTTAGTACGGCTTTTCATCCTCAGACCGATGGCCAAACAGAGAGAACAATTCAGACACTTGAAGACATGCTTACACTATGTATATTAGACTTTAAGGGAAGTTGGGAAGTGCATTTGCCATTAGTAGAATTCGCTTACAACAACAGTTATCAAGCTAGCATTGGCATGGCGCCATATGGAGCCCTGTATGGAAGAAAGTGCAGATCGCCAATATGTTGGACCGAGGTAGGAGATAAAGCTTTGATCGGCCCCGATCTAGTTCAAAGGACAACCGAAAAGATCAAGCTTATCCAATAGAGAATCAGAACCGCTCAGAGTTGATAGAAGAGCTATCCCAACCAGAGAAGAAGAGAGTTGGAATTTGAGGTTGGGGATCATGTATTCCTGAAGGTTTCACCAATGAAAGGAACTTCCAGATTTGGAAAGAAAGGTAAGTTAGCACCTCGTTACATCGGGCCGTTTGAAATACTTGAGAAGGTTAACCCAGCCGCCTATAGACTGGCTTTACCGCCGGAACTAAGTCAAGTTCACAATGTGTTTCATATTTCGATGCTGAGGAAGTATATTTGGGATCCCCTGCATGTAATCAATCATTCCGGGATTGTGGTTAGTGAAGATTTAGGCTACGAGGAGAAGCCGATAAAAATCATTGACAGTCAAGTGAAACAGTTGAGGAACAAATCGATACCAATGGTGAAAATTGAATGGAAAGAGCAGTACGGCAAGGATGCTACATGGGAAATGGAAGAAGAAATGAGAATCCGTCATCCGGGGTTATTTGTAGAGCAAGGTAATTTAAGTTTGGGGACCAAACTTCTTTAAGGAGGGTAGGATGTAACGACCCTCACTCTACCCTAGTCATGCTTGCATATATTACATGATCTTGTCTTGATATATTGCATCTTTGCAAACCATGATTTGTCTTGCTTAAGTGTTTCTCGCATGTTTTGTACCTTGCTTGGTGTGAGTTTAGCCGAGGTCATCTTAAGTCTAGAATTATCTTGGAACCACTTTGTTTGACCTCCACCTTCGCCCAGACATATTGGCCGAGATGTCATTATCTAGGCCGAGGTGTTCATCACCAAGGCCGAGATGTGTATTATCTAGGCCGAGATGTTACCTTTGCACCTAAGTGATCTTGTCCTGGAGTGGTATGACCTAGACCGAGGTGTGGCACATCTAGGCCAAGGTGTGGCACAGCTTAGTCAAGTGTTGTCCTTCCTAGCCGAGGTCATTGTCACCTTAGTTGCTGAAGTTTTGTTGTTAGCCGATGTCACCACTTGCCGGAGTGCCATCCCGAGTAGCTTGTTAGATACGCCTTGTCAGAACCTTGTCTTGTCAATCCATCACCTTTTTGAAGAGAACCAACCAACCGTTGCCACGTGTCCGAGCTGAGAGTTAAGTCAGCCGGCAGAGAGAGAAACCCATCATTTGTTGTATATTGTTTTGAAGAGTAGAGAGAGAAGCTCTAGAAGAGGGAGAAGAGTTCTTGAGAGAGAGTAGATCTTCAAGCTTGATTTCTAGAGATCCAACCGTTAGATCCGCGTTCTAAGGTTAGATTCTTTAGTTCAGATTTGCGTGAAGAATTGGCACCACAAATTGGGGAGAAGCGAACATACTTGCCTCCAGCATGTTACACATTATCAAAGGAGGAGAAAAGAAGAGTATGTACAACATTATTGGAATTGAAGGTTCCAGAAGGATACTCTTCAAATTTGGGAATTCGTGTATCAATGCAAGATTTGAAACTTTATGGTCTAAAATCACATGATTGTCATGTATTGATGCAACAGTTACTACCTGTGGCAATACGATCTGTGGTTACCTAAGCATGTGAGACATGCCATTATCA